ATCATGTGATTAACTGATTGATTTCTTACTGCGACAGGCTATCATGCTAACAGATCGACATGCGGCTACCAGACTATACGCCACGCTGTTTTTATTTTTAAGCAGTTTTGAGGCTCTGAGGCAAAACCTGAAACTGCTGCTGGCCAGTTACTGAGCAGTCTGTTGCTAGGTAACCAAAGAGTGAGTCTGTTGCTAGGTAACCAAAGAGTGAGTCTGTTGCTAGGTAACCAAAGAGTGAGTGAGCTAGTTAAAGCGACCAACGTAGCTTAGCTGTCTGAGAGGTTGATCAGAATTCAGTGAATATTCTATATATTGAATATTAATATTCTATCAGCTGTATTATCCATAGATATTGATCGTGTCTCAATAGATATGATTATTGATTTATTGACCAACCCGCGTCTATAATTATTGAAACGCCTGAATAATCAGAACATGGTCACTTTAGGAAACGATTCTTTAAATAGACTCACTTATGGAGCTAATAGCGAAAATTCAAACTGGAAGACTCCATCCCCTCCGTTCGTCCATCGGCGTCATGCTCATCTCAGTCCTCAGCGCTGGACCTCACCTGGCGTGTCCAATCATCAATCAAGTTCAGCATAAAAGGATCCACACCCAAGCCGTCAGCCGCTTCCCAGCTGCGTTCAACCCACCACCGCCCCTTCTCCACCCTCATCCTTCGGCTCTCCAGGATGGCTCCCTTTCCAGACCTCCACCACCAGTGTCGGGCCCCGGGGAGAGCATCCCTAATTGGTTATCGGGATGTTCATCGAGTTCACATCAAATCTCAGCTCAGATCAGCTGCCGGGCCCGCGCCAAAGAACTGTTATTCATTGCTGTCATTAAATCTTTTAATTGTTCCTTTTTCTTCGTCTGAGTCTTTCCAGATTGAATTACTACTGGGTGTTTATACGGAGCAACAAATATGTCAAGAATCTTTAATAAAACTTTTTAAATGATTTCTAATCCAAAAATGCTGAAAATGTAGCTTTGTTGTGTCATGTTGGGTTTTATTGAGGTTGTGCAGTGAATCCACCGCCTCACCTGTCCTCTTGTGTTCAGACGGCGTGTTTCTGCTGTCCGACTGAAACGTGTCCGTTCTGCTGCCCGCAGGTGGAGGCCGGTCGATCGTTGCTGAAGGCGACGGCGGCGAAGCCAGTGAGCCAGGTAAAACAGCAAGCTGACGCGGGTCACGGTTGGCAGCACTTAGCTTTGCCACAGAGACGCCGCCGCCGTCCCCTGCTCGGCTTTAAGAGCTTGTCCTCGTCCCTTCCTCACCTACATTTCACACAAACACTCGGAGGAGCAGCTGCTCGGCTCCTGGGCATTTGGTGGAGGTGTAAATGTGGAGCGTCTGTGTTTTCCCTCACACCGGAGGAAGGTTAAAAACACACACAGGCTGTCAAACCAAAACAAAAGTCTTCCCTCTTCATGCATGCAACTGGTAGAACAGCAACAATGATTGCATTTATTTATTTTGCTATAAAATCACATTAAAACCAACTTTTGCTCTATTCAGTTTTAAGTTTTCATCATAATTATATTATACTTTATTGTCAGTATAATATAATCTGAAAGATCGAATTCCTCTCCCCTTTCAGTGCTACAGAAATACATTCAATTCATTGTCATTAATTACTAATTAACTCTCATAATATTACGACTTTATTCTTGCACTGTTATAACTTTATTCTCATAGTTAAGTGTTTTTATTTTCTAACACAACGTTGAACAAAAACATCTAAATGTCAGAAATTTGATATATCAAACTCAAATCATAGAAAGTATTGGTATCGCTAACAGTGGCCCTGTATTTATAATACATATTGAAAACCTCCAATGCTTGGTGCAAAAAACCTATTTATCATCAGTTTGATAATCATAATAATAAACTTTTTTAAAAACTTGCGGAGTGACTTTCTGTTTCCGTGTGAGAGCAGATCCTCACCGTTTCAGACGGATCTGTGTGGGTCGGAGAACCCCGCTCTCCGTAGCTGTCGGCGTTAATCTCGGCTTCCCGTCTGACAGACAGTGATTGATGCGTCTCTCTTCAGAAAGCCTCCATCACACCAGACGCTCGCACAGAAACAATTTTATGCCGCTTTGCCTCTAATGGAACCACAGAGGCTGAACCCACAAAACTTTATGCTGAAAACGTTTTTTTTTTATTTGCTGTTATGCTACAGTTAGCTTAATATGTCTGCTAACTCGTAAACAACTGCATTATTATTCTTATTATCCCAGAGCGGTGGCGGGCAACGCTAGCTAAACAGTTAGTTATACTAACACTGAAGTACTAATCTTAAACATTAGTTCTAATTCTGATGCTAACACTGCTAACATGCTAATGCTAAAGTGTTAAATTCAATCATACTGATGTGTTAATGACACAACATATGTTAAAATGTCATATATCATCCTCATCAGCGTCTAATTCGATATTTTGCGCCTGTCTGCACGGCTTGTGCTTCAGAAAGTTTGGATCTTTTTCACATATTTTATTCATGGTTTCAGTTTTTTAGTTGTTGCTAACTCTGTAGCTCATTTGCTGCACCGCACTAATGGTGGAAAATCCACCACTGTCCAAGATTAATTAAAAATTACACCTTTAAAATCAAATAATTCACCGTTTGTTTTATCAATCCTAAAGTTTGCTTGGATGAGGTTGTAGAAGCTTTAAGTAATTTAGCACTTCATAATTTATCCAGAAAAAATTTAATTAGCGTTTTCAAAGATAATAGCAGAAATGCTAAAATGCTAGATAAAAAATTAGGCCTGCTTTTAGCACATTGGTGGAAGTTTGCCCACCTTTGTCCAAGATAAATAAAAAATAACACATTTAAAATCCAGTATCTAACTGTTAGTTTTGCCGACTCTCAAGTCTCCTTCATTGAGGTCCGAAAACATCGCAGCCTTTGTTTTGGGAAGTTTCACCCATTGCACTTCCATTTTTTCATCTCTCTTCAGCTTGGGTGTTTGACCCGCCTCGATCCGCCAACCGCAACAAGATGGAGATCAGCTGCATCACCAGCAACTTGCATGAGATGAGCGACCTGGCCGAGCGGCCGCGGCTGCTGGAGATGGGTTACGTATCGCTGAACCACACCAGCTGCCCGAACGCCAGCCGGCCGGAGGAAACCGTCTTCACCGTGGACGAAACCCTCCAGCGCCATCTTCCCGACTCTCAGTCCGGGACTTAAACGTGACTTCCTGTTGTTGTCCTGAGAGAAACAAAGCAGCATTCTTCCTGTTTGGGGTGGAATCACCAGTTGGTTGTGGGTGGAAGCTTTAATCCTTTGCGGCATGGCCTGCAGGACAGCAGTTGACGCTGCGTGACGTTGGGCCACGTCGCCGGATGCTGGTGTTTGTTTTAATGGGACTCCTTCATGTCAGGATCAGTGAAGAGAAGCAGCACCAGATTCATTTGGGTTACAGATGGACTGTCCCGCCAGCCCCCATGCTTCATCCCTGTCATCATGACCTTTTCAGTACCAAGCTTTAATGTATTACACTCTGTATTCACATTTATCACCTGAAATATGCACATCAGTGCTCAGTAAATTAGTGTTAACTTTGCATCAGACTAGTCTTTCTGTGCACAACGTTGTTAATACTGAGGGAAAAATATCCACCTTGAAAAGCCTTTTTGTAACGTCATGCTATTAGCTTGATGTAAAAAAGTGCTAAGTCACGTCTGAGCGTTTTGTTCCACCCAAATGCAAAAAAACAAAAGAGCTTTGGCGAAAACAATGAATGTCAACGTAGCTTTTTCAGTGTCCGTTTACCTGTTTTACCTCACTTTTAAGGGCTGCATGCTGCTGCTGACACCAAAACCTCTGCATGCTGTGATCATCCTCTGAAGCACATACAGCAGCTGTAAGGTAAAATATTATAAAAATACTGTTTCCACTGTTTCCTGTTATGCCTATTAACACCTAGTGAACAAAAAACCCTGAAAAAATATCAGTTTTTTACTTGATACTGTCAGTCACTGTAACCTTTTTCAAATTTATGAATCAATAAAGTTATAGATGAGATGTGTTTGTTACCGTGAAGCTAGCTAACTAGCTAGCTATGAACAGTTTTTCTTTTTAGCGAGCTATCTCTTTAGCTGTCCACCTGTCGAGATAGATAGCTATCAATCTATGTTGCTATCTAGCTAGCAGCATAGCTATCTATATAACTACCTAAATAACTATATAGTTTGCAAGACAGCTACATAGTTAGCTCGCTCACTAGCTACAATGAACTGTTTCTGTGTTTAGCTAGCTAGTTGTGTAAATATTTAACTATCTATGTAGCTAGCTGCATAGCTATCAATCTATGTTGCTATCTGGCTAGTGACATAGAAAGCTATCTGTGTATGTAACTAGAAAGCTGCATAAATGGCTATACGGCTACACAATTAACTCAGTTACAAAGATAAATAGGAAGTTTTTGTTTAGCTCTCAATATTACTAGATACATAGCTAGATAGCTATGCCACTAGCTATCTATGTAACTAGCTAGATAGCTACATAGGTAGCTAGACACCTACATAGTTAACCTGATAGCTGCCTAGCCAGCTAGCAACATAGATGACTAGGTATCTAGCTAGATATAAAGATAGATAGCAGGAGGACTTTGATGATGTGTGCATCAGTACAGGTTTTCTACACCCAACCATTCGTTGACAACTTTGCCACCTTTGAGGTTTCTTACTCTGACCAGCTGCTGTCCTCCGAGGACGCAGTGAAAATGCAAATGAGCAGAGCCTGCAGATCACACGTGTTTGATGTGAACTGAATTTAAAATAAGACTATCTGTGTGACCTGTCCAGGGTGTACACCACCTCCCCTGGGGACCTTGAAGACAATGGCTGGAAAGATAAACCGTGTTTACTATTCTTTAACCAGGCCAGTCTACACTTCTCTCACAGTTATAGTAAATTTGTAGTTCTATAGCTTCCCACTTAGAAATGAATGCTACCATGATAAAAGCCAGAATCTCTTCTATCATTGTGTCAAACTTTTATTTGTACATCCTCAGATCACCTTGCAGTATGTTGGTCCTTGCATAGCTATTTGTCATGCAAACCACTTACAGGACAAAAGAAGAAAATCGAGAGTTGTGGGTAAAACAGGTGGACAGCTATCAATCTATGTCTCTGCTACTGGCTATGCTAACTATGTTAAAGCTTCAACATAGTTAGGTAGACAACTATATAGTTAACTCAATATTTACATAGGTAGCTAGCCCCACAAATTTTTGTTGTTGTCAATTTTACACACTTTATGTTTTCGATTTGTCTTGCTGCCAGGGCAGCAGTGCCACCAACTGATACAGCAGCACCAGACATTATTCTGATAAAAAGAATATGCATCTTAATATAAATGTTTACTGTTATTTTAAACTACAATTGTGTTTTCATGATGCAGCAACTTTCTCCACATCTATAAATTACTTAAATCGTGATTTATTTATTGTTCACAAGACTTTGCAACGACATCATTTAGGACAGAGATTTATTTTCAGATCCAACAATACACATCTCATAAGGCCGGTTCTGTCTGTTTATTACTGATGTTTCCTGGAAGTGTTTGGTTTTAGTCCTCAGGCCACCAGCTGGACCTGCTGGGTTCTGTAGGTGTCAAAATCCCCAGGAAGAGTGTCTGAGAAGATTCAAAAGACAATGTCAGGTCAAGGTCAGATGATAATTTTGCTTATTTTAAGGCGTCAACTTGATCTAACTGCAGATACATGGTCCGAACCGGAAGTGATCCGCGCCACCTTAATAGACATGCGCAATGCATATTAAACCCTATGGCTCCAAGCCCAACAAAAATAAATTATATGGATACTGTGTAGATCAATGTGCGAGAGAAAGATACATGAACAAAATGGCTGCTGTTGGGATCAACCCATATGAGACGAAGAAGGAAAATATGTCAGACGATGTGGACAAGCTGCCTCCGGTCTCAGATTACCATATAATTCACTACTGAACATGAAGAGTGCGTAAACATGCAGGAGCTTCGCGGCCGGATACAATCAATGTCTTAACGGCTTTTTAAAAGGACGTACGAACATTTCAGGTGAATTACAGGTGACTGGCAGAGTCAGTACATGTAGCAATATACACCAGGCTACATGTCCGTTTTAGCTAGCGGATAAAAGCTACATTAGCTCAGCTGATTTAGCTAGTTCGGCAGTAAGTACTACAGTAAATATCACTGTATATATTAGTATTACACAGAGGTCGGTAGAGTACTCAAAAATTGTGATCGAGTAACAGTTGTAATGTACTTATTATTTATAAGTTAGGAACGAGGCTAGAACTAGTTTTTCCTAAGCTTGTGGTTTGTTTATTGTTGTCATAGCAACTGCCAGCAAAGATGGATTTTCTTTTCAACTTTCGCTTCTTTTTCGTCATTTACTTTATTAATTATCTAGAAACACACAGGGAAAAAAACTAACATGAAAACTTAAAACCTAAAATTATCCGCTCAGAAACCCAACCAGCCAATCAGAACCAAGGTTGACGTTCAAAAGCATCCAAGATGGCTGCCAGTTGCACAAGTTCACATAAGTCTGACTTTACATTAGAACTGTATATTAAACAATGGTACCTACAAAAGTTGTGTTTATTTTGAAGCGAATTTTGAGTGAGTCATATTTTTTGTTGTTGTGGAAAATGCCTAAAACAGATGGAAAAGGTGGAAAACTCTCCAGTTTCCGCTCACCGTTGCAGCGGTACCGCAGGTTGGCCCAGATGATGTTCTCCTGGGAGAAGCAGAAGACGCCCAGCCGGCCTCCTCTCATCGTGGCGTCTATGATGACGCCGGTGTCTGCCACCATCTGAGGGCCCTCATAGAAACGGACTCTGCAGCAACAGCAGAGGGCAGCAGAAGCAGGTAAAATAACCTCAGAGGCGTTATTCTGCCACACTGCAGATGACATGAAAAAAGTTTGTTTGTTTTTCTTTAATTTACATGAAATTAAAACTTCTCGTCAGCAACTAGCAAGGAAAGATGGTACAAATAAATTCTGACTTCCATTCCTATAAAGATACATAACACTGACTAGTTTGTGAATTAAATATTAAGTTTGGAACAATGACATTTATTAGTGTATGAATAACATGGAGAAAATGACGCAGTCGTTCTGTTTCCTCTCCTCATGTTTTCTTTTTTTATTTTTAAGAAACTTCATTAAGCAACAAACAATCAAATAGATAGAAGAATACAACACTTACATTAATAACCAGGGGTGTTAATTTAATGCAGAAATTTACACATATGTATTGTTCCTCACGAGTTAGCAAAACTCAACAACTGAAACCTGAGTCCATGAGTGAAAGATCTGTTCAAAAGAATCACTTCCTCAAGCACAAAACACACGGAAAGGTGTTCAGTATCGAATTGGAGCCTGTTGAGGGCGCTATACTGTGTTGTAACAGATGAGGAATTTAGCTTATGCTAAATACTGTACTGCTTTAGCATTAGTGGAACTAGTGTTTATGATTTATGCTTTAGGTTTAGCTAACTAACTTTTGTTCGTCGTTTTTCAGTTTTTATTTGAGAAACGTCTAAAACAGTGAAAAATTCTCGTTCCCGCGTTGAGCCGGTACCTGATGTAGCCATCAGCAGGTCGGTGCTGGAGGAACCAGCGGTACGAAGTTTTGTCCTTCCAGCCCACGTTGCGAGGGTCTTTCCACAGGAGCTTCACCTGGTCTCCGGTGTCTCCGGTGTGCCACAGGGCGTTCCTCAGGTTCTCACCCGGACCTGTGCTCGACTTCACCGCCTGATCACAAACAGGAAGAGGAACCAAACAGTTTGTTTACTTAATCTGTTTGAGCAACAAAAATTATCTTCTGTTAGAGCCTCATTTTCAGACAAAATCTTGAAGTGAAAAGATGAGTGTAACATGGGAAAATGCCTTGGTACATGTTAAATAATCTGCCAGTGGAGCTAAAACTTTTTCACCAACATTAAGGAATTATTTACTTAAAACAAGCTCCTATATCTTTCTGAAAAGTTACTTTTAAGTTAGTTTTGTCTTATTTCAAGTGTACTAAACTATCTGCACTAGAAACTAGACCAAAATACTTGGTAAGATTTTGTGTTTTTGCAGTGTAGAAGCTGCTTCTCCATGTTTGGTTCTGGTTCTGAGGATGCAGAACCAGAAAACCTGAGAGGTCTGGAAGGATGATACAACTACACCAGATCTTTAATGTGTTCTTGTTCTGAGCCGTTCAGTGATTTGAGAAGTTTTTTAAAGTGCATTTGCTGACATTGTTGCAGTAATCAATGCGACTAAAGATAAACGCATGGCTGTGTTTCTCTAGCTGAGACTTTAGTGTTGTAATCAGAAAAGTTCTTCATGTGATGGAAGCCACAGGAGGTGCGTACCTTGAGCTGGATGCCTTGCTGTGCCACGGCTCTGAACGGGTTCGCCTGCCAGTAGATCTGCTCCACCTGCTTCCACATCACCACGTAGAAGCTGGAGCTGTCCTGGTAGCCGAAGATAAACCCAGCGTAGTCGTCGTCCGTTACTGTGTTTACATGAAACGTCCCTTCAAAGTCCACGCCGCTGAACGCAGTGTAGCCTGGAGGCATAGTGAGAATGTTTAGAAAAGGATCTGACAGACAGAATGAGAGAAAATACAACCATACAAACCCAACCCTGCTCTTTTTATACAAATGAAGTGTTAATCAGTGGTGCTGCTAACTGAAAAGCTAGTTGTGCTAACCCTAAAGCACTAGTCAGAAACGTTGGTGCTGCTAATGCTAAAGTGCTACAACAACATGGTGTTTAGTGGAAGCTAATGCTGAAACAAGCTGTGTTCCCATTACACACTTGATAAGCAAAAGTTCAACACTTTATTCAGCTGAAAGCTAATGCTAAAACGCTAAACTTTAGTGCTTTAGCATCAGCTAACGTTTACAAAACTACCAAGTAAAACAGCACTTTAGATTTTATACAGAAATATAAAGTTAGGGGAAGCTAAACAAGCTAAGCATAAACTTAGCTTCCCCTAAACAAATGTAATGGAAATGTTAGGTTTGCTTTTAGCGCATTAGCAGATTAGCGCAAGTGTGCCCACCACTGAAGTTAATTATTAAATTCTTATAGATACATCACGTTTATGGTTTATTTACTAGCCACTTTTATTAGGAAAACAAAAGATTTTCCCAAAATTTTTGTTCTTACCAACAGCCAAACCCGGGTCACTGTTCATAGTCTGGACGATTTCTCTTCCCTGCACACAGGAAAATGGACTTTAAAATAAATGTTAGCTCCACAGATCATTTGGTAAATAAGAAAGCAGTTTAAAAGCTCCCTGACCTGGTTCAGCACCACCCAGTTGGGGTCTATCTGCGCGTCTCCTTCCGGGTCCAGAACGACCGTCTGGTACTCCCTGAAGTCAGTAAGGGTGACTTCTGCATTTTCAGGACAGGCATCGATGGGATCGATGATGGTGTCGTTATCAAAATCTTTCTCACACACATCACCCACACCATCACCTGCAACAAGGAACAGAGAGGGTCCTAAGAAAAGAAAGTGCACCCTCTTTCATTGATATTAGGATCAAAAATGTAAAAGCTATGCTCAGAAAAGAATGTAAACTCTTTTTAGCAGCAGAAACTTTCAGTCTTCCACACCAATGTGATGGAATATCCTCCCACTCTGCCTCAGATTTATGGACATCTATGCATACTTCCTTGAAGCTGCAGTATGTAGCTTTTAGAAAAAAATAATAGATATTTTTACATATTTGTTGGAACTGTCACTATGTTGTGACAGCATGATATGAGACAAATAATCTGGAAAAAAATCTAGCTTCTCTGCCTTCTCCCAGTGCTAAGAAGCAACCAATCAGAGGCAGGAGGAGGGGCTTAGCACTGTCAGTCACACATCCGTGTGGCAGTGCTTTCCTTTCTTACTCTATGCTAAGCTGCTCAAGCTGGTTAGCATAGCTGTTATGGTAAGCTGTTTCTCCACCATTAGCACAGTGAGTGCATGAGATGATGGACAGCACTAAGCCCCTCCTCCTGTCTCTGATAGGTTGTTTTTGGTCAGGATGAGTTGGGAGCGATGCATTTCATCAAACACCAATAGTGGCCAATAGTAGCTCTGGGTTTGTAGCTTCTTTATTAGCTTGATGGTGACTCTAATTGATTTCAGAGTTTTCTTGCGCACCATCCAAGTCCTCCTGCTGAGGGTTGGGCACCAGACGGCAGTTGTCAGGACCAGGCGGCAGCAGGTCAGGGATCCCATCATCATCATCGTCGTCATCACACTCGTCCCCCTTTCCGTCCTTGTCTGTGTCCAGCTGAGAGCTGTTGATGACGGCTGGGCAGTTGTCCCGGGAGTCTTGGTGTCCGTCGCCATCACTGGAGACGAGTGATGGCGTCTCCAGTGAGTTACAAAACTCACACTGAAATACTCTGTCAGGTAATATGGTTGATGTCATTGATGAGGTCACGAGCCTTACCTGTCCTTGTTGGTGTCACATGGATCTCCAATCAAGTCATTGTCTGCATCCATCTGAGAAACATGGCAGGAGTTGTTAATGTGGCAGAACTGGGTCTGTTGTGGCAGCAACCAGATGATCTGTTTGTGGCAAATAGTTGTGGTTGTCTCTGGAGACTCCTGAAACAACTGATAAGGTGCAGGAGGCAAGAAGGACCGTGTCTGCTGTGACTGTAGAAGGAAAACCTTGGATTTGGAAAAGCTGTGGTGAAGGAGTGTCATTTGCCCTTTGGGAGGTTCTGGAAACCCATAGGAAGGGATTCCACCAGGCTGTTTGGCTTGTTGGGAGACAACTTAGTATGATGATGTCCATTGGAGAACTCAGGGCAAAACAAGTCCATCGACTTGGGAGAAGTGGTTAAGAGGTGGACAGGATTTCTCCTGAGTCCCTGAAACCTTGGGACATTTTGGACGTATTGCTGTTGACACACCTCTTCACTGATGCATTGAGGGTAGGGACACCACACACAGACCTGGGTGGTGGTTTTGATTTAGTTTGATTCAGTCCTCTAATCCTGGAAATGTAGGGGATAAAAGGCCGACTTTGTAACTGTCTTTATGTGGCTCTGAAGGTTCAGGTCAGAGTTGGTCACTAAACCCAGATTTCAGTCTGTTCTCTAGTTTCCAGCTGTAATGACTGAAGCTGTGTGCAAACATTATTCCAAAATTACCACAGTGGTGCTGGTGAGAAGAGCTTTGTGGCACTAAAAAGCTTTTATTTTCTTATTTATTATAGTACTGATGTCAGTTCAATGGGACAACTCAGTCTTCCCAAATCTCAGTCTTTCCTGTCTTGCCAGATCCTTAGTTGGTCTTTCCTTGTTTCATGTCAGCGCCTGTCTAGAACAGCGCTGCGTTTTCAGGTTTATGTTTCTGGACATCTGGCGTATGCAGCACAGTGTGTTGCATAATTAATAAAGGTAGTGAGCCATCTACCTGTCTGCGGCCCTGTTGGACCCATAACTACCCCACCATGACAGAAACACACCCAGAAGTGGCAGTGTTTAATTTTAGAGCGCAGTTGATACGCAGGTCATAATAAAACGGAGGAAAAGCCGTTTTTCACCTGGTCCGGGTTGGGGACGTAGGGACAGCTGTCGCAGGCGTCTCCGACTTTGTCTCCATCTCTGTCTTTCTGGTCAACATTGGGAACCCTTTTGCAGTTGTCCATGACATTTATGATTCCTGGCAATTTTAATAATACCAGTAAATATGAAACAAAATTAAATTCTAAGTTGTTGATTAAATATTTATGATTTCTTTGGTGCTGCTTGTAAAGTTACACAGTTAGAAGTATCAATAAATTGGGTTATTAGCCTGTCTGAACATTGGGAAGTAATTTTTCAAAGCCATATTTTCACCATGTTCATTCATTAATAAATGTCAATTTTGAACTAAATATGTTTAGCTTCATATTGAATATTTAGCTAGCTCAGAGCTAAATAGTTTTCTAGCAAAATAGTCAGCTAGCTCAATAAATATTTATGGAGTTAAATAGTTAACTTGCTTACTAAATATTTAACCTGCTAACTAAATACTTAGCTTTCTAACTAAATATTTAGTTTGGAGCTAAATATTTTGTTGGCCAGTTAAATATTTATTTGCACAAATATTTATTGGACTAACTGACTATTTAGTTCCAAATGACACATTTATCTCTGAGATAGCTAAGTATTTAGTTAGCTCAGCTTGCTAAATAAGCATTTAGTTTGATGCTAAGACTTTCATAAATAGGTAACATGATGAAAATGACTCAGACATGAACCTCCATTTTTTTTTCTCTTCATGCTAAGTATCCCAATTTATTGCTGTTATTTCCAAATGCCACCCAAATGAATTATAGTTTCTGTTTTTGGGGTGGCAGGATTCTTACCATCTCCATCTATATCTTCATCACATTCATCACCAAGTTTGTCCAGATCCGTGTCCTTCTGGTCGTTGTTTTTCACCGCTCTGCAGTTGTCGCACTCATCACCAAAGTCGTCCTCATCGATGTTTCTCTGATCAACGTTGGGCACCAGCTTGCAATTATCCTGCAGACGATAAAATTTAGTCTCTTTCTTACCAAACCAGTAGAAAACCTGAAGGTCTTTCTGCTTGTGTGTGAACCTGTGTGTTTGGGATCCCATCCCCATCTGCGTCATCATCACAGGCGTCTCCAATCCCATCGTTGTCGGCGTCCTCCTGGCCGGAGTTTGGCACGGTGAGGCAGTTATCCTGCAGACACAAACTCTTGTTAGAGTGTCTTGCACTAAACTGACCTAATATGGGAGGCATATTTACTGAACAGTACTGGTCTTGGAAACTCACCTTGTTGCAGGTCAGGTCAGGACAGTTCAGCTTCTCGTCAGGGAAACCATCGTTGTCGGCGTCCTCCTGGCCGGAGTTTGGCACGGTGAGGCAGTTATCCTGCAGACACAAACTCTTGTTAGAGTGTCTTGCACTAAACTGACCTAATATGGGAGGCATATTTACTGAACAGTACTGGTCTTGGAAACTCACCTTGTTGCAGGTCAGGTCAGGACAGTTCAGCTTCTCGTCAGGGAAACCATCGATGTCGGTGTCCGTTGCACACAGGTATCCATTACCCGCCCATCCCACTCCACACTGTGAATTTTAGACATTATTTAGGAGCTTGTTTCATAAACTTATCAGCCATCCAAAGTACAATCTGGGATGCATCACCTGACATTCGATTGTACCCTCTCGGTGGACGATGCAGTCGGCGCTGGCGTGGCAGGGACTGGGCTGGCCGTTCCCACAGGCTCTCTCAGGCCTACAGCCAAGCCGTTGGTCCCCAACGTAGCCGGGCTTACAGGGACCGCATCTGAACGAGCCCTAAGCACATTCAGAAACTTAAAACCCAAGGAGTCCAGTCCTACTGAACGGTTTACTAAGTCTGTATGGAAACCCCCAGAAAACAAATACTTTAGCAAAAATGTGCACATCCCTGATAGTGAGACAGGTTTTAGTGAAGTCAATGACATGTACTGCTGTGGATACTGTAACTGTTAAATAAACATACATAACCTCTAATTAATCTATTGAGCTGAGAGAGAAATAAACAAAGATGTTTATACACTGGATAGTCCGGTAGATTTCAGATTTCAGTATTTTTTAACTGCATTGATTTTATTTGAAAGGAACAATGAGAATTAATGAACATATAAAATTACTGTAAATACACCTGATTTACCAAAACAAAAATAACATTAAAACAATATAAGAAATAAAAATAAGAAATACAGTAATGATAAAAACTATGTAGCTGTACATATAACTATATAACGGTTCTGTTTGGTTGGATTCACATAAGAAAGTCTTTACATTTATAAAGATGCAGTAAAGTTCTGCAAAACCTTTGAGTTGAATTAAAGTAAACCTGAAATCCTTTCCTTTAACGATCTACTTTGCATATTTGCAGGAAACTGATATGAAATGTGATTTCTACTCACAGGAGTGTTCAGACAGACAGAGTTTTCCACACAGCCGCCGTTGCTGGAACCTTCACACTCGTCTATATCTTTGCACACCTTGAACAGAAAAACAGAAAAATATTCAGAAACCGACTCAGATAGACGCGTTGTATGTCATTGTTTACCCATGTGAACAACGCTGGAGGGCAAAAACACGATTCATTCATAGCTGCGGTAGAATGACTGTTAACTAAATGAAACCTGGAGATGGAGGTTTTATTAATTTAATGCAGTTCAAGGGAAAATCATGCAAAGGGAAAAATTACGCTGAAAAACCATTGAAGAAAAACTCAAAACCACTTGTATTGTTTTCTTTATCATTCTCTGTGATGCTATGCTACATCAGACTCGTTGCCATAGCAACTGACTAACAACAGCTCCAGCAGTGTATCAGGATTCAACACCAAAAAACATGGAAACAATTCCCTCACAAAGAATTCAGTTTTCAGTCGGTTACAGTTTTATGTGTTCAGGCTTGATGTTTATTTTACGATAATTAAAAAGTGATCATCTGAACAAAGTGGTGATTGATTAGCTAATTTACCTGATTTTTGATTTTCTGTTAGAGTTGGTGTTTGGATCGCCTTTTAAAAATATTTTAACTGAATTCTGCTGCACAGCTACATGTTAAGGTTGTCATAGTCAAGCTAGCAGAGCTGACTTGCTTCCCTCGCTAGTGTTTCTTAATTAAAACTTTTTCCTGACCCTATCTAGTTGCCGTAGTGTTGAGAAGTAGTAGCAAAGCACTGCGTCCCTTTTCCTTTTAAATATCACACCTACATTTAAGATTTAGCGTGTTATGTTGACAGCCTGACAGCTAAAACCAATGCTAGTCATGGTCAGGGAGTTTGGGGTGAGATCTTGTAATCGTAACATTACGTTGCAGATGGAAATACAAAGATTTAGGTTGATTAATAATATGTACTGTTAATACTTTGTAAGCCCATGTGTAGTCATACTGTTGTAATATCTGAGTACATTAATAATCAAAGTTTTGTAATGACCAGTCAAAAATATTGAATTCCCCCTATTCCGCTTTGTCACCTCCGTCACAGTCCAGTAGGAAAACCGCCAAAGAGTTGAGCTGCTGCGTCAGTGTTCCCATGTAATGTCCTTCTTCACCCTAACATTTGACTTCAATTTCTAGTCTGGTCTCCAAAATGTTCAATTACTTACAGATGGAACAAAAATGTAGATAAACTACTTAAATCTAAATCTGCTTTGGGTATGAAAGCTATGGACTTAGCAGATCCTGACCTGTTTGTTGGCAGTGGCGTAAGCGAGTCCAACCCCCTGGACCTGAGGTCCGGTGTATCCTGCAGGACAGGAACCGCAGCGGAAACCTGGGGACGTGTTGATGCAGCGGACCCCCATGTGGCACGGCATCACCTTACACTGGAAACGGCACCGATAAATAAACAGATAAACAACTCAGGGAAGAAGATAACATGACGGTTGGTTTTGGTCTCTTTCCTCAATATTCACATATTCTGATACTTTAACCTCTCTCAAGCTTCATCCATCCATCTGTTTGGCCATCCAGCCATCCGTTTATCCATAGATCCATCAGTTTGACCATTTGTCTATCTGTTTCACCATCCATCCAAAGGCTGGACAATAAATCAATAACAATATATTGCAATAGACATGTGATCAATATCTATAGATAACCTGTCTGCAGGGTTGGTGGAGTCAACTGACTCACTCGCTCACTCTTGGTTACCTAGCAACAACCTGTTGAGTACCTCATGCAGCAGCAGTTTCAGGATTCTCCACCGCTCCTCATAACTGCTTAAAAATCTAAAGCAATGGCATGAAGTGAAAACTGTGGATAAAACAGGAAATGTCACGCCTACAGATTGGCAGCATTTCAGATATTTAAAACAGAAAATGAATCAATAATTATGGACATCTGCTGATAGGGAATGCTTTTATCATTACGTTCTTCAGCCATGTTGCAAAGGCCTAATCCAACCATCCCTTCCTCCATTTGTGAGCAATAAAAACAATTCATTTTCCTAATCTTTAGGATCTCTACCTCGTCCACATCTGTGCAGTGCATCCCGTTGCCCTCCATGCCATCAGGGCAGGCGCCACACTGCGGGCCCTCAGGGGACTCTGAGCACTTCACACCGGGGTGGCAGGGGTTGGGCTCACAGGGGGAGACGGGCTGGATGCCCCCCATTCCTGGGAGAGGCGCCATGATGTAAACATTACTGCTGTGGAGGGGAGCCCAACATCCAACCAAACACAAACCAACCAACCAGCCAATCAGCCAACCAACCAACCAACCAACCAACCACACATACAACCAAACATAACCAATCAAACATCCAACCAACCAACCAACCAATCAGCCTAACATACAACCAACCAACCTCACATCCAACCAAACATAACCAATCAAACATCCAACCAACCAACCAACCAATCAGCCAACCAACCAACCACCCTAACATACAACCAACCAACCAATCAGCCAATCAGCCAACCAACCAACCAACAAACCAATCAGCCAANCAACCATCATCTGAACATTACTGCTGTGGAGGGGAGCCAAACATCCAACCAACGAAACTTACAATCAACATCCAACCAAACACAAACCAACCAACCAGCCTAACACACAACCAACCAACCAGCCAATCAGCCAACCAACCAACCAACCAACCAACCACACATACAACCAAACATAACCAATCAAACATCCAACCAACCAACCAACCAATCAGCCAACCAACCAACCATCATCTGAACATTACTGCTGTGGAGGGGAGCCAAACATCCAACCAACGAAACTTACAATCAACATCCAACCAAACACAAACCAACCAACCAGCCTAACACACAACCAACCAACCAGCCAATTAGCCAACCAACCAACCAACCAACCAACCAACCAACCAACCAACCAACCAAACAACCAACCAACCAACNACCAACCAACCAACCAACCAACCAACCAACCAACCAACCAACCAACCACACATACAACCAACCACCCTAACATACAACCAACCAACCAACCAATCAGCCAACCAACCAACCACCCTAACATACAACCAACCAACCAATCAGCCAATCAGCCAACCAACCAACCAACAAACCAATCAGCCAACCAACCAACCAACCAACCAACCAACCAACCAACCAACCAACCACACATCCAACCAAACGTAGAACCAATCAAACATCCAACCAACCATCATCTGAACATTACTGCTGTGGAGGGGAGCCAAACATCCAACCAACGAAACTTACAATCAACATCCAACCAAAC